CAGCAGCAGCAGCAGCAGCAGCAGCAGCAGCAGTAGTAGTAGCAGTATTAGTACTGTACTACTAACGATGACCATGATAATAATGTGTAATTCCTGTTGCAGGTGGAAGCAGCTATAGACCTACACAATCCACACAGCCACAGCAACCTATCCCTGCTTCACCAGCTAGCCAGTATTTTCCCAAGGTAACCAGAGACCTACATTTGTGCTTCAGATAAATTCTATACAAGTCTAATAGTCTAATATAAAGAAAGTTTAGGAATTGATAATTCGTGAGTTTTACACTGAATGGGTTGCCTATGTTGAGAAGCGTAAGTCGAGGGTACCAACACAGATATCCCAAGTAGGATAAAAACGCTCAGTGCGCCTTCAAACTCTCAAAGCCAGTACAAATGGTTGTATATTTACAACTCGTCAGACGAACCCGCTCTATTGAGAGGGACAGTTGGTACTGTTTTTTAACAAGATTCTTTGGCGTAGATAATGATCTATTATACAGGTTTATAATACCTATGTATTATTCTTTTCTGTAGAATGATTTTGTGACGTTCGACAAAGCCAACAACAAAGCTATCCTTAGTAAGGTTGAAGAGCTGAATGGTACACTTGATTCGGTAAGAAAAAACAAGCGAGTGACTTAAACTAAAGCTGAAAATGATACAACATTTTACTTTGTATTCTTCCAGGACCAGAAGCTGGACACTGTAGACTTACAGCAGCTTACAGGTAAACAAACTAGAGAGAAAGAGAGCAAATGCCTAGAACTGCAGAGAGTATGTTTGAAATAAAAAGAACCCAAGAAAAGGCAGTGCTTTTAATTGCAGCGTCACTCGTATGGAAAAACGAAAAGCAGTTTTATGAACTTCAAGGTTTTTCTTACATTTTCTTCGTGACACGATTTTTTGTCCAAAACTCTAATTGTTTAAGGTTTAGGTTAAATCATTGAGAAAATTTTACGTTTTATTTTAGCGGTTTTTGTGAGCAGATGAACCTGGAAATACGTAATCTCTTATAAATCATTCCGCACTATGGTGCGAATTGGTTAAAAGCTCTATGGCCCAAATCCATAAACAAAGAAATAATACTCCAGGAATTGACACGTGGTCTGAAATGGGAAAAAAGTGGATTGGCTCTATTGGGTGGTGCGCGTTTATTCGCGTTCTGATTGGATCAGGATAAAAAGCCATTTGATTGTCCCATGGTGTTGGAATGTCACAGTTCCAGTAGGAAAGACGCAGTACCTTGCTGCGCCTCTTGATTGGATGGTTTTCACTTTCCTTCTTTTTCATTGGTTGAGAGTTAAATTAGATTATATTGGGGTGCCTAAACAATTTATCTTCGAATTCTAATACAATTTACCAAAGATATAGCTGTAATAATTGATATTACGCTATTATTTTATTACAGATTTATTGAACTTGGTAACAGAAGTAACGGAAAACAATACACCCAGTGAAAAGCATCTACTAGTGTTGTCTAAAGCGTTACAATGGCCAGTGGGTGTACTCTTTCCAGGTACGATGTAACTAGGTGGATAGAAAGCTTCAGTTCATCTTCATAGAGATGTCTTGAGCTTTTGCCTTGTTCAATATATAGGTTTTTCATGTGACGTCATAGCAGCCATGTTTGAGGGCAAAACAAAATAATTTTTTTTCTTTGGGAAATAAATTTTCTTGTGATGCAATAATATTGCTTCTGACCACAAACATGGCTGTCGTGAAAGACCTCTTTCGGCTTGGCTTCAATCAGCTGTTAAAAAGTCTTTGAATGTCATTGTCATATGCTGTCAACCAGAAAAAAATTATTTTGAGAAACTTTCGATTAAGCTGATGACCATTCCGCCACGAAACAGGGAATGACGTCAAGTGAAACCCAGCAATGCTCTAGAAAGCTGAAACCCAAGTTTTTGTATTCATGCAATCTCGTACCCAGAGCCTGCGTTTCTTCGCCGCAGGCCAGAAGAACGAGGGCTCTGGCATAATCCATTTTTTGACGCATGCGCAGTTTTCGGGAAGTTAAAATTTAATCATTGAAAATCATGCTTTCAAACAGAGTTCTGTGTTTATTTCCGATCCGAAATAAGAATTAGAAATCGGGAACATATTTGTTTTATTTTTGGCAAGTCACTTAACGTATGCGCTCTTATACCTGAAGTCTAAGAAATCCTGGTCTCAAAAAATGGATTATGCCAGAGCACTCGTTCTTCGCCGCAGGCCAGAAGAAACGCAGGCTCTAGGTACGAGATTGGTATTCATACTAGTCTCCTACGCAGCCGATTTTAGTGTTGTCACGCAACGCTCACTCCCCAAAGTTGGGGAGTGAGCGTTGCGTGACCACACAAATAGCGGCTGGGTAGGAGACTATATTCATACATAACTGTATTGTTAACTACAGTATCTTGATATACTTTTCTCTAGTTTTAGATATTCTTCGCTTAGCAATTCGTCATCCTTTTGTAGCAACTTATTTCTGTGGAAATAGAGAAGTTGAAAATGTTGTGGAAAGATTGCTACAGTTGATAAGGTACTTAAAAAGACTATTAAACTACTGGCTATTTATCTAGGACTTTATATTTCCATTCATCTTTGCTTGCCTCCATTAACGTAAACATCCATCCATCCATCCATCCATCCATCCATCCATCCATCCATTCATCCATCCCTAATCCATACATCCGTCCGTCCGTCCGTCCCTCCGTCCATCGATCCATCCATCCATCCATTCATCCTTCCCTTATCCATACGTCCATCCGTCCGTCCGTCCGTCCGTCCGTCCGTCCGTCCGATGGGATTTTCCAAAAATACGCTCACATTTCAGCAGCGGGGGACACGATCTTTTGTGCTGATTTATTTTTCTTGAGGAAGTGTCCGTCATGTTCTAAAACTGCGCAAAAAATCGGTCCGATGCTGCCAGAGCTCTAGGTACGAGATCCATTCAGCCATCCACCATCCATCCATCCACCCATCCACCTACCCACCTACCCATCCACATTTATACTGTCAGTTGCTTCCTATTTTACCTGTTTATCATTTTCTTTTTCCAGACAAGAATCTCCAGCAGCGAACGTCTTACTCGTGTTCAGGACCCTAGCAAATTTATTTCCTTCGTGTGAAGGTTCCATGTCTTTACTAAAGTACAGAGAAAAGGTAACATCACAGACATTACATGCAGTGTAGTACTAAGCCAGAAATGATTTATTTAACCTTATTTTTCTTGGGCAAATCTAGAGGATCTAGGGACCCAACCTCTCACCCCCGCCCCGCCCCGCCCAAGATTTTAAAACCGATATCTACTTCATATTGATGCTTGAGTTTGTAATATCAGCCTTCATAAAAGCCGGCTTTCGATTCCTTTTTCTGTGCCAAACAGAGATCGATTGTCTGTTGACAAAAGGCAACTTGAGACGAGCTTTTGTAAAAATGGTTTGCATATTAACACTATAACGTTTTCATGTAAACTTAGCAATCTTTTGTAATGCGGTTCGTACATTGTTCCACAGATCGTAGAACTGATGTTGCCATGGGCAACCAGTCCTAACAAGAATATAAAAATTTCTCTGTGTACAGTTTTACTCAAGTAAGTGTAACAAGTCGTATTTCCTTCCTTCCTACATTATCTCCCTCTCTCCCTTTCTTCTTGTTTCCCTCCTTCCCTCCTTCCCTCCTTCCCACTTTCCTTATTTTGCTTCAGCTTCCTTTCCATCCATCCATCCTCCCTCCCTCTTTCCCTCCCTCCTCCCCCCCTCTTTCCCTCCCCCTCCCCCTGTCCACCCTTCCTTTCTTTTTCCTCTCTCTTTCCTTTCCCCCGTCCATCCATCCATCCTTTCTTTCTTCCGATCTTCATTTATTCCTTTCTTTCATGCTTTCTTTAGCCTTGTCACCCCCTTCCTTTCCTCCCAATACCCTTCATTCCTTCCTTCCTTTCTTTCTTTCTTCCTTCCTTCCTTCGTTTCTTCCTTCCATCCTTTCTTCGTTTCTTCCACACCTCTATCCTTTATCCCATTGATATGCCCATTTCGCGTATTCTCATTAACCATTTCTCTTCTAGTTTCTCGGTTCTCTTCCGTAAATTTCCAGACTTCGGAGCTCAAACACAATGTTTTATGGCGTTGGCAAGTGTGAGTATCCCAGTTGCCATTACACCTCTCATTTTCATGTCTTTTTACTCGGAACTTTTGATAACTATTGTATTAACAAATCTTGAAATTCTTGTTTTCTATTTAGATCCTTCGAAGTGAGACAGACAACGAGGCCAGATTTCGATCATTGGTTGCTATTGGCAACATGGTATGAGAATGAAAAAGAATTTATTTTCCTTGCTGATAGAACAGTCAGAAAAATATGGTATATTCTGGAATATACCCCTTGTAGCACGTCGGACTGCAGCTCAATTTGGAGGACAAAACAATAGGTTTCCAATTCTCTGGAGATTGAAAATCTTTTGCTTTGTCCTCCAAATTGAGCTGCTTTGACGTCACGTGTAAGGGGTCGCTTTCGAGGAATCCTAAACAAATCTTCTTTGTTTGACGATTATTTTTCAGATGTTTGGTAATACCGATATCATTTCCTATGCACGTTCTCTTGAACTGGAAGAAATCCTACAGAAGCTCATTACCGTACAGGATCCTCCAAAAGTAAGTTTTGAAAAAATTCTATTTAAATAGACCTCTCTAGTTTGATAGTAATGCTTTAGTTTTTATTTCCGACCACGTGTCATTCTTTTGAGAGATTCTTTGTTTGAGTTGTATCCATATTCACGTGTCTTCTCATGTGCAACCGTTAAGCAAAGAAATGATACTCTAGGGAATGACACTAGTCAGAAATGGGAAAACATTATGTCCAGAGTAAAGAGGTCTATTGAACAAGAAACATTTCATGTTACGAGAGAAAAGCAGAGAGAAGAATGGAAGAGACTAATGATCAGACCAGCTCCCTTCATTTAGAACCGGCTGAAGTCGATCATTTATTATTTATTTATTTTTTATGTATTATTTATTATTTATCTCTTGACTTCAGGTTGGTGATTGTGCTAAAAACGTTCTATCGGTTTTAACAGGGTAAAGAAAAGTCTAAACAGATTAACATCATCATCATTGTCGTTGTCATCATAATCATCAACGGCATCATCATCAACGTCATAATCATAATCGTCATCACCATCATAATCATAATCTTCATTGTCATCCTCCACATTCATAAAGAAATATACCTATCATGGCTATAATACTTATATTTAATCGATACCATTAAGTTTTATAAAACCGATAGCCATATTAATATTGGTACTGAAGTTCCTCTAGTTATTCCTCAGATCGTGCGTGATTAATTGGTTTCCTCCCTCCGTAAAAATCAACATGTGAGTAGAGCGTTGCGTGAATAGAACATTGAATGAAGTGGTAGTGCGTGTGAGCGAAAAGTGTCCCCAATTAGTGCGAAAACGCTAGAACGACTAGACACTTAAATAAAAWWTTTTTTTTTTTTTTTTGAGGTTGAACATATATCGTATATGAAGATCCTACATTTTGACACGCTATTATCTCACCTCTGATTGGCTGCGAAATATTCAAGAAATCCTTGATGTGAACCTCAAATAATAAATGTAATGGAATTAGGTTCTTCTGCATGTAAATATCATGTCAAGCTAGACCAAGGTCACAACAGAGATTGAAAATCAAATCTTCATTCTTAGTTTGTAAAGTTTATCGTAAAACATTCATCGAATTCGGTTTTCGCAAAAGAAATTATCAAGACCTTGGTTGTTATATCCGCTTCACCCTACGGCTTCCACAGATAACACGGCTTTGGTCATTATCATTTACGATATATCATGCTCAACCTTATCCAATTTTTTTTTTTTTT